GGAGAAATTAGGTAACAGTCTCCAGTTAATTGGGTGAGGGACAAGAATAGTATCAAAGTTAGAAGTGACAACTTCCCACCCTGGTGCCATCATCGTGGCTTTATGGTTTTGTGACTGGGAAGAGAATTAGTCAAGTTCCAGCCGGGTAATGGATTTGTCTCCTCTCAAGCTCATGGGCAAGGTTATGCAGTCCCCAGCGCTTCTCCTAGGGCTGCGTGGACAGCGCCTTCACGTTGCAGTAATCAGGAAACTACATGAAAAGGGCTTAAAACCTCGAGGAGCCACATAAGTGCTGGCCTCGAGAAGTTCCTACTCCTTAGTCCCAGGACAAAATCTCCCTTCCTGAGGTCCTTCTGTCTTCCAGACCCAGTCCTCAAAGCCAGGTGGACAAGTTAGGAGGGAGATCTGACACAGTAAAGTAGAGGCCTGAGGAGTCCACTTAGCCAGGAGGGGTGCTGTCCGGAGGCTGGGGCCTGACATGGCATGTGATACAACTCCCCGGGAGCTCAGCCTCTCTGGAAAGGGTTCCCTAGACCAGGTTGGGCACCTGCTGGGAGAGACCCAGATCTTCTGCAGGGTTCCCCAAGCTCGCTCTGTGCCTCCTATGCTGTGTCTCCATGGTGACCGCTCTGGTGTCTGCTCCACAGTGACACTGAGTATGAGGTGGACATGGCCTTCCTGGGCACCCGAGCCGGCCTCCTAAGAAGCAGCTTGTTCGTGGGCTCTGAGAAGGTCGTCGACAGGTGAGTCCTACTGGCCACCCTGGGAAGGGGTGCTGCGGGGTGGAGAAGGCAGAAATCTTAGGTGGGTTCCTGTGTCTGTGGGTGAACTGAGATGTGGCTTCCAGTTTGCCTGGACCCTGGGAGACTGGTGGGGGCAGAGGGTTGGGAGTTAATGATGGGACTAGCCCCTCCCCCCAGCTCACACACGTCCTGGAGATGTCCCCAGAGAGGACAGCGGAGGCACAATTAGGGAAGAGAGAGGCTGTGAAGTTGGGGTCAGAGGTCCCACTCAAGGGAGTCTCTAAAAAGGGAACCCAAATTGCTTTCCTCTCTGGGACAGTCTCCATGTGACAGGCTAAGTCTTCTGAATCTGTCCCCTTCTTGCAAACACTTCTCCCAGCCCTAAGGGGCAGGGGGCTGCTGCTGGAGCCCTGGACGTGGAGAGTCATGGCTGGTCTCCACCTCACCTGTGTGGGGGTCACTGACTCTCAGGGGCTTCCCACTCCCATGGGTATGGACAGCTGAAGGTCCAAGCCAGCAAGGCTAACCTGGGGGTTTTTTTGCCCCCCTCCTGGGCAACAATGCCTGGAGACACTTTTGGCGGTCACACTGGAGGAACTACTATTGGAGAGGCTTCTACTGGCGTCTGGTGGGGCGGGCACAGTGTACTGCCAATCTCCCAGCCAGGCACAGGGCAGCCCTGCAGTTATTTGGCTCACAAGGTTGCTGGTGCCCAGGCCGAGAAACCTTGCTCTAAACAAAGGCCAAAGTCCTGGAGAATTAGGAGCCCAGAGGAAGGGCTGGGGGGAGCAGTGCCACCTGCCGCTCCTCAAACCAGGATAATCAAATAGATGGGGGCTGCCGGGCAGTCTTGACCCCACTGTCCTCAACTCCCAACCACTAGCTGCTCCTCTTCCTAAATCCAAGCACACTCAGCCCCAGAGCGCCATCTTTGAGTTCCTTCCAGAACTCTGTGACAAATCCACACTTGCTAAGCAAAGCTGAGGCTTTCTAGGAAAACAAATTACGTTGCTCCTCCCTCTCCCTCCCTCCTCCCTCTGTTCCTCTGCCTCCCCTCACTCCAAGAGGTGGAGAGGAGAACTGCCCCCCCCACCGCTGACCCCTCCACATCCTTGGTGTTCCCTAGCCCCTCTACAAGGCTCTGAGAAGAAAGGTGATCTCAGCACAGACAGCCCTTCCAGAGCCTGCTCAGCGCCCCACAGGGCTCTCTCCCTCTGGATGCTGAGGGGAGTGGCCCGAGCTGTGCAGCAAGGCAGGCTGCTTCCCAGGCATGTGGGCCCACCACTCTCAGAGCTCAGTCACTCACCTTGAGGGTTACTCACAGCAGTGTTTTTAACTGCTCCTCCCCCACCCCAAGCTTCGCCGGGCCTCCCACTCACTGTAGGCTGCTGTGTGTTCAGGGAACTCAAAACCATAATTAGCAAGGTAAAGCTGCATGACTGAACGGGAACTCGTAATGTGCCCCCCAGCCTTAGCGGCAACCCTTTGGAAACCGCTTCCCAGGGGCAGTCCTTGCCCCTGTATTACTGCAGTGATAGCCTTGACGATACAATTGCCACCCTCAGACATGCCAATGAGCCAGACAAAAATAAATTAGGCTACCTCCAAAGGAAATATATCCTGCAGGCCGCAGAGCATTCCCTCGTGACACAGACCCTGTGCCTCCTCGAGGGCCAAGTCATTGGATGCAATGTCGTCATTCTGATTCTGGAAGAGTCAGGAATTGCCTGGGAACATTGGGGCAAAACTAATTTAGGGGCTAATATTTTCAATCTATCTATCTGTCTGCACCTCTGCCAAAGCAGAGGGGAGTCACTCTCTTGGCCCAGCCAAGATGACCTTGTAAGGGACGAGGAAAGGGGGTGGGTATGTTTCCAGATTGGGGGAGGCACCAAATCTTCCTCCTTGCAGGAAGTTCCTGACACCTGGAGACGAGGCCAGTGCCTTCACACCGGACCGCTTCCCACTGTGGTACCGCCAGGCCTCCGAGCAGCCTGTGGGCAGCTTTGTATTCAACCTGCGCTCTGCAGAGGGACCAGGTAACCCACAGCCCTTGCTCCTGAGGCTGGGGCAGTATTAGGATGTCCCCCCTCTTACTGTGCTCTATGGGGGATATGGGAGAGGGCTGTGGAGCAGTATGTCCAGGCCACCAGGGTTCCCTTCCCACCATCTCTCCTGATACTCCTTAGTGACCTGAGAAGGCTCCTTCACTCTGCTTCCCCAAGGTCCCCATGCTGGAGGTGCAGCTGAGGGTGGGATTCCCCAGCCAGCAGTCAAAGTGGGAGCTTAAATATCCAGCATGGGATAAAGGAAAGGGACTTGACCCAAAGTCAAGATGGCTGTATTTCAGCCCAAATTCCACATATGAGGAGATCAGTAGAGTTGATCTCTAAGACTCTTCTATTTCTAAGCATCTGTGCACTTGTGAAAGTTCTGTGAACCACCACATGAAAGCAGCAGACTTTGCTCCACTAGGGACCGCCATGCTTCCCAAGTCCACAGGGCCACCTGCTCTTCCCCAGCAGAGAAAGCAACCTGGCCCCCACTCTCTGGGCTCCCCTGAGAGCAGTCACTCTTGTGGAACTTCTGGGCTGGCAGGAAGGAGATTGCAGGTGGTGGCCAGGAAGTCCTTCAAGGCCAAGGACCAAAACCACTCTCAGAACTAGCAGGCACCTGACTCCCAACTCCACCCCCATTCTGGAAAATGGTCCCCCAAAAGAAACATTAAGTGACTTTATTAGAGCACCAGGAAAACTGCAGAATGTTTAGACCTGAGAGGGAACTCAGTGGCAGCATTGCCTTACCCTTGAAGAGACTGTGGCCGGGGGAGATTGAGGTTTATCCAGGGGTCCAGGATTTTGTGGCAGAGCAAGGGCTCTCCAGATACCCACTGGGGAGCTGATCCCAGCACAGTGGAGCCGAGGGCCAGTAGAGTCCCCAAGTGCAGGGGAATGAGATGCAAGAGGTGGGGGGAAGGGCAGAATGCCTGAAAGGAGAACCGTGGACTGGTGGTCAACTCACAACTTCCCCTCCAAGATGCCCTTCTCCCTAGGGCAGAATCACCACTTTGCCAAAACCATCCTCAAGACTCAAGATGGGAAATGCCCTGGCCCAGGCTCTCAGGGGCTCCTCCTGGGACAAGGCAGGGAGGGAAGACAGCAGAGAGGAGTTCCATCTCTGTGCCCTCTGGAAGTCTTCCTCACCCTCTGCCATACCCACCTCCCCAGTCTCTGCCTGTCCCTTCCTCCCATGTACCCAGCCTAACGTGACTTACAAAACGTTTTCTGTATACGACTCATTCAATCTGCACAGCCCCGTGAGATAAATGTTCTTATTCTACGACTGACACAGGGAGAATCAGAGGCCGAGAAGTTCTGTGATTTGTCCTGGGTCACACTGCAAGGGAGCTATAAGCCAGGCTAGAACCAAGGTCTATCCCACCAAAGTCCAGGCTCAGTTGCCACACTGAGCATAAGGCAGAAAGAGGAGAGGCGGATGCAGCGTTTTTATTCCCTCTGCAAGCCCTGGGGGAGTTTCTCAAAGCCAGGAGGGGAGGTCCCCTTTTCCACACTTACTTACACCCTGAGGCAGAGAGGCCGTTCCCCTCCTCCAGCTCACACAAAGGACTCCCCAAAGAGGGACACCTGGGATCCTGGAAGGCTACCTAGGATGAGGCCCTGGCCCCTCCCCACAGCGCTGAATCACAGGTTCCCTTGTCACCCCAACATCACCAGGACTGTGGCTACCGGCTGCCTGGGGAGCTTTATGTGGCGGTGAGGTAGGAGGGTGGGTGGGAGGGGAGCTGAGCCACAGGAGAAGAGTGGGGAGCTGGCAGCCCAGAGAGGGGGCCGCTGAGGGGGGTGGGAGCTCGTCCTGTTTGCGTGCTCACCTCCTTGCTCAGCCATGCACACATGCACTCAGACGCTTAGAACACGTGGACACCTCTGCACACCCTCATCCACCCCAAAAGAAAGAAAACAGTAACAATTTCATTTTGGCAGGGGGCGGAGGACCTGAGGCAGCTGAGGAAAATGGGAGGAGCTGGCCCCAGGGTGACTACGGGGTGGGGATGGGGGACCCTGTCTCCCAGGCTGGCACCTCTGCCTTTGCCTGGGGCCTGGTGGGCGGGGTCCTGCCCACAGGGAGCCTCTTTTGCAGTCAGTGCCTGGGAAACCTGCCAGCATGCAGCAGAGTCTCACCAATGCCTCGGCTGCTCAGGCCCGTCACTCCCCCTCTGCAGCCCACCAGGACCCAGCCCACCTGCTCATTTGCCCCAGTTGCAGGGCCAGGTAGCTGCTGTGACTCAGGTGCTAAAATTTCTGACATATTCAGGGACTATGTCATTAGGGCCTGCATACCCTAACTTGGGTTTCCTCCAAGCCAATGCTAGCTGGAGTACACATACAAGTCTGGACAATTAAATTCACAAACCCATCCTAGAAAAAGTGCCACAGCCTTCATTGCTGAGTCTCACTATGGGTACCTTCACGTTACTCCCTTTAAGAAGCGATGCACTGCCACCAGTGCCTGGTCCACCCTTCAAAGCAGTTTTGCAACTCTTTGTTTCTGAAATGCCCACCAGAGCTATTGTCGTATAAAGCACACTAAAACTCACAGCTATGATGAACACCACTGAGCGAGACACTTCCGCATGTCCACACAAACACAGCTCTGAGCTGCTGATAAACCAAGGTTATGAAACCTTACCAAGCTGTACAGTGCTGCCAATGTAAGCACATGGTGGCAAGTTCATGAACGTGTTAGACCTTCATAGGATGAGGCTTTGCTGGTCATTCCAAAATTGCCTTGAAGACTGGACTGGACACTGGCATCGGTGGGTAGCTTCCTAAGGGGAGTACTTCAAAGGTGACTATAGTGATGTTCAGCAAGGAGGGACAGAAGGCTTTTTCTAGGATGGGTTGGGAACTTAATTGTCAGACCTCATACAATGGAAAATCTATCTGGAAAACAGGCCACAGAGTCCAGGGAAGGCTGCTGCAGGGGTTAGCCACATCACCACCTTCTGGATGTTTCTAGAAGCAAATTGGGGAAGCCAACTTCTGTGTCTATTGTGGTTCCTTAGACTTTGTCATGGCGAATTTCTAGAATCAAGAACACTTTTACGTATTCTAAGTTCCTAGAATCCAAGTGTAGTTTTAGACTTCTATGAGATAATTGAAGACAGCAAGGTGCGATGTGTAATCTCGGCAATATCATAGATGGGAAAAGCGGGTGGTCATGCCCGATGACAGCCAATGCAGTTACGATAACACTGTCCACACAAGATTCTCATGACCTGTTTGCTTCATGCTGCATTTAATACCAAGACTTTCTAACAAAGTATGATAGCACATCATAAAAGTTTGTCCTTTCTTGGAAGTTTTAGTGATAGAATTTTGTCTATAGACAAAAGTGCTTTGAAAAGGAGATGTCTGCAGGGCTGAGGACTGATAAGAATTAAGAAGCCCCAGGTCACATAACAGCCTGAGGGCTCTGTTTCAAGGTAGAGCTGAAAGGGCCTTAAATTCTGCGCCTACAATGACCTGATTCTTGCAAAAGAAGTGAAAAAGAAACCTCAAAGCGAGCCCTCTGGCCTGCAAGGGTCAGGCAAAATGTCCCAGAAGTGCAGTGACCAGCTGTGATACAAGCAAAAGACCCAGAGGGCAGTGATGTGGTGGTAAAGGGTCAGGCACCACCAATACCCGGGGTTTACAGAGTGCCACACGTGTGTCAGTTTTTGTGCGGCTCAGCCGTGGCATCTGCATTCCTACACAGAACTGTTAGTGTCCCTTCTGATTCATGATGACTCATGAAGGTCAGCCAAGGATCACTCACCACCAAGTCTTGCAATGCAGTCTGCCCGTCTGCTAGAAAGAATCTTTTTGTGCAACACAAGTGTTCTGGGTGAGATCCATACTGGGAGGACGGACCGCAGCAGGCAGATGGGAGAAATCTCAGTGTCATGATACTGAGACAAGCAGGCAAAAACCTCAGTGTTCAGGCAACCCAAAGGCCACATGTGTCTGGCAAGTTTGGGTCCACACAGGATGTGGGCAGCATCTGACACTCAGGAGGTGCTTTGCAAAGACCCATGGTTGAGGTGGTCACCATTGCAGCAACAGCTTTCCAAACACAACGTACTCCCTGCCCCGATATTCTAAGGATGCCTTTGCCCGCTGTTTGCATTTGTCTCCTAGTCCAGGAAAGCGGCAGGGGTACCCCCAAGCACTACTCTTCCCCAGATGCTGAGAAAGTGACTCAGTCAACTTTGCTTCCCCAGAAAGTTCGGGTGAGCCAGTTGTGGTGACAGCAAGCACAGCTGTCGCGGTGACAGTGGACAAGAAGACAGCCATTGCTGCAGGTAGGAGCTGCCCTTTGTGCCACTGAGGGCAGGAGGTCGTGGGTCAATGTCAGGAATAAGGTACATGGTAGCAGCAGAAGGACCTGCACATTGCTGCCAGGCACGGTCCCCTGCCTCTAAGTTTCCCCAGGTGAAATGTGGGGATGCGGGGAAGTTGAATTTTCTTAAGTCATTTTGTTTACAAAACCATCTAACCTTAGATCTTAAAGATCTATGAAGTGAGAGTAAAATGAGACCCAGAGAGGTTAAGTTACCTGCTCAGGGCCACGCAGGGCAAGGCTGACGCCCAACCCTGCTCTCCACTGCCCTGTGTGTATGACTTCCCTCTCCTGTTGTTGTGGCCTCTGGTGTTGGCTCAGGAGGGAACTGGGCTTAGGGCAGAGGGAACTGGGCCTGGGGTTCATGGCCCTGAAGTGAGAGCTCGCTCTGTGTGCGTTCACTGTGTGCCAGGCACCATGGAGACTGCCTCCCACATGCTTCCTTATTCAGTCCTTGAGGTGACCCAATGAAGGCCATGTTTGTTGCCTCCATTTTACAGATGACAAAACTAAGACACAGCAAAGGGATTTGCCCAAGTCCCACAGTTAATGATTAATGAAGGTAGAATTGGGGCACAGATTGCCTACCTTTAAAGTCTGACTCATCGCCCCGTGCTGCAGTTTGCCCCCCACCCACCTACGCGACAAGAGCAGTCAATGAACCTCATCAGCTTCCCCTGACTTGGTAGTTTCTTGATGCTTAAAAATGTCCTCTGTGTCTCCACCTAGTTGTCAGAACTATCAGGCCTCTGTGATGAAGTCCTCCTTACCTTGGTTTCAGGTTCCGTGTCTGGACCTAACTGTGTTCTGAAAAGCTGTGTGGTCCAGGGACATTCACCCTCAGCCATGTTAGCTCCATGGCCACGGCTCTCAGGCACCTGCCTTGTGTCCTAGAGCCCTGGCCAGGTGGGCCTGACTTGGGTGGGCCAGGCAGGGTGGTGCACCTCCTCCCCAGGTTGAATTCAGGGCAAAGGGGAAGAAGAGCTGGTGGGCCTCTGTCTTCCTGCCTCCGGGAGGGCCCATGGGACGCAGGGCTGCAGGCCACCGTGGGAGAAGACTGGGGGAGGGAAGGCCCGTCTGCCACTGCTCAAGAGCCTCAGCAAAACACAAACCGACTGCAGCATTGAGGAGGGCCCCGTGCCACCCCAACTGCCTGTGTTCTTTAGCCCAAGGCATGCTAACCCCAAACCCATTTCTAGGCCAGCCCGTCTCCCTGCAGACCGTCCTGAGGTCCCTGCTGTGATTGCCCTGCTCCCCCATAATGTGGGCCTGCTCAGCACCTGGACTTCTGAAGGTCTAAGAGAAAAGGCCGGGGTGGGTCAGGCTGCTGGCTTTGCTTTCCTGCACTCTCCAATTATTTGATATCATTTTTAACTCGGAGCTGAATTAGAGCTGAGAGGAGTTGCCATAGAAACCGTGTCCCCATGCCTCCGGTTTAACTCACTGCAGACAATCGCTCTAATGCTCTGGGGTGCATGGAGGCGAAGGGGAAAGAAATGGGGCACTGGAGACCTCATACTTCAATTATTACTCTTCCCTTGGCCTCCTTCAGTAATTTTTCCTGCCTAGTCTATGGCTCAACCTCCCTGACCCTGGGCCAGCTGGGCCCTGTAGCTCACTGAGGAGAAGGGGACTTTTTGTGTCCCTGGAAACAGTAGATCTGCGTCCCTGTGAGCCCCAGGCCAGGGGGAACATGGGGTCTGAGGTGGGCTGCATGTGCGATGTTTGTGGACCCGGCGGGGGCACAGGTGAGAGATGGGCATTTAGCCCAGCTCCAGGAACAGCTGTGTGCTGTGTGTCATGGCTGTGATTAATGCCACAGGGTCATGCAGAAGGGCAGATGGGTAAGGAGGGATCATTTTGATCTCCAATCATGTGGTTCATCAGAAGCTCATGCAAAATTTCTGGAAGTCTAACTTTTTGATCAGGATTCATTTTCAATTCTCCATGTCTTATGGTCAAGCATTCATGGTGGGGCTGTCATATGTGGAAGCCGCATGAGGTCTCCCTTCCTGAGAGTGCTGCCTCAGTATGCGCCAGACCTCGGACCTCTGTGAGCTTCTCTCTGAGAACCATGACATCTGATGACACAAAGCATGACAGAGCCCTGGGCAGGCCTGTGAGGAGCTGGTCCTCTGCCTTTGCCGTGGGGCTTGGGAAGACTTGTCTTCAGCCTGCTGTTACCATAATTATGTCTCACCCCACCACCCTGGAGGAGCGAAAAACCCACTCCACTCTGGGAGGGGAGCTGACCTCCTTGGTCCCTGGTGGTTCACTGCCCTATGGTAGTTGCTCCTGGGTTGATGGTTTGTCACCTACTGGGAGGCTTCTGGGAAAGAGAACATTCCATCTTAGCCTTTGAAGACTAGTGAACTGCATAGCCCAGACCTGGTCACCCCAAAGCCGTCCACCCCTGAAGGTGGGTCTCCCGGCAAACAGTGAGCCTTTGCTGGACTCAGCATACACTGCCAGCCCAAAGGTCTCATGTCTTCCCTCATCCCTCCAGCGCTCCCCATCATGCCCCTGCCCAGACCCCAGTGCCACCTGTGAGCCCCTGAGAGGAGTCATACTGTAAGCCTGGGGTTAGGGCAAGATGGAGCAGAGTGACAAGGACTCTTCCTCCCTGTCAGCAACCTGCCAGCCTTGCAAAGCAGATGAAACCCAGGCAGCAAAGTCCTTCTATCTGCCCTCCCTCTTCCCATCATGCGGCAGGTCCTCTGGGCAAATGCTTGCCTTCCTGCCATGGGAGCCCATCTGTCCCAGCTGCCAGGGCTGATTCCCGTCAAGCCAGGGCAGTGAGCACCACAGGGAGCAGGGCAAGGGGAAGTCTCTCCACCTCACCTTCTTCTCTGCAAGCCACAGTGCTGCCCAGGGCAGCCACCCTAAGGCTCACAGATTCTCCCGCCTGGCCAGAGCGTGGGTGGAGTTAGGATCCCAGCTGCTATGCCATGCCCCAGCTTGCTGCACTCAGCCACAGCCTCCTTCTGATCCAGACTCCTCTCTGCTCTTCTCCCCATGGCGCTCTGAGGCCCCAGGCGGGAGGCATCCATCTGTCCTGTGGAGCTCTGTGGGGAGCAGTGATGGCCCTTAGCACCCTGCTCAGCTGCCTGGGGAGGTGAGGGGGCAGGAAGCAATTCTCCCAGCACCCATGTCCCCTTCCCACCCAGTGAAACCAGGAATTACGTAGGAAAATACAGTCTTTATTGGTCATCTGAAACAACAAACCAGAAATATAATTTTGCCTTTAAAAATCTTCTGTCTCAGGCGAAAGATACCACCATTGACAATGCCCTCCCCTTCCCACCCCCCAGCCCCTTTAGAAAACCCCCAGGCCTGGTATCAGCCCACAAGCCAAAAGAAGAAGGAAGACTGTGACCTTGGCCTGGAGGAGGCCTGTGGTCCCATAAACAGCCTGTACCCAGTGTCCTCTGTCCACCTGGAGAATGACCTTCTCAGAGGCTCCCCAGCCAACCCCACCTTCCCTGACCTCCTCACAACCTTGGTCTTCAGCAGTCTGGCTGGCCTCTTCTTGTGCCACCTAAGATCCCTTCTGAGAGCCAGAAACAAGCCCAAGAACTCCCGACCCTCTCTGAGCATGAGGAGACCTCAGTGCCCGCTGACATCAGGCTCTCCCAGAGGGGCAGAGCCAGAAAAGGAGACTCACAACCCTGAGAAACCTGTACCACCCTGGAGGCAGGTGTCAGTCCCAGACAGTACCCCTGGTCCACCGTCCGGCGTGAGCCCCAGTCCAGTGCCCTGGGAACAGGTTAGGCAGACAAACACGGGGAAAGGAGGCCCCATCATTGAAGCCTCTGCACAGAATGTGACTGTCCTTTCCCTGTTCTGGAGTCTGTGTGAGACATGCTGGCTGGCAGCAAGCCTCAGTGAGAGCCACCATGCTCTCTGCCTGTCGTCTGCTTTCCCTAAAGGGTACCACCAACCACAAAGCACTGCCCAGTGCCAGCGAGGACACAGGCGGAAGGTGCTGAGGAGAGAGGGGTGAGAGGTGGAAAGTAATGGTGTCAGGCTGCAGGGCACAGGAGTGGCATCAGTGGGTGTCCCCATGGAGCCTGGCAGCGATGGCATGCTTGGGCAGGACAGAGGCAATACCAACCTCTCAAGAGGCTGCCATCCATACACACACAGCCACTTCCTGGCCCCTGGGCCGGTGTCCCCGGAAAACCCAGCAGCAGAGGTGTGAGTGGGTTACCATGGTGATGGGAAGTCTCATCCAGCAGCACCACATTGGCCCACTTTAGAGGATCTCAGAGGATCCTTGTGTTATTGGTGATGACTTGAGAAGATTGCAGGAAGCAAAAGACTCTGTGGCCTCAGGGCCAAGGGCAAGAGCCTGTCTCTCCTACCCGAGTTCTCAAGGCCTCGGTCTCTGTATGACAGGGTGGGTGTGGATATGTGGGGGGTGTGGGTGTGAATTTTTCAATCCATGTGACTGCACTGGTGATGCTTCAAGTGTGTGTGTGAGTGAATTAGTGGATCCAGGAGCAGTGCGGTCAGTGTGGTCTGGAGCAGGCTGGGAGGTGGTGGCGCCAGCCAAGGTAGTGTGCTAGAATCTCAGCATCGTTTTTCTAAGTGCTAGGACCAGACGACAGGGCCAGTGTGTCTGCACCTCACAACCAGCAGTTGGAAGCTGGACCCCAGATTTCACACTGTGAGGGGCTTAAGGATATCTTTCTGGCATAGAGGAGAGTCTCAGAAATCTTCCCCTGGCCCCCTAAGTGTAGATGAGGTGGGGATGAGCTGGAGACAGGCTAAGCTGCCTGCTGTGGCTGCCCAAGGGAAAGGGAAAGGGGATGCCCAGTCCAGACCCTCCTCTTGCACATCATCTTTTCCTTCTCCAGCTAGAAGCTTGGGAAGCTCCCCAGGTTTCCCAAAGAGCATCAGCAGGGCCTTCAGTGTGACGTGGCTTATAGGGAGACTTGGAGGTTCAAGGGCCACGCTGTG